TGTGGGTTTGGAAGTCCTGAGGGCGCCTGCCCCTCACTTCTAGGCTGGGGTGGCCGCGCGGCCGGAGTCAGAATACTCTCTCACCCTGCAGGGTTGACCTGGTGACTTTGAGTACAACAGTTAAATCCATGCTGTGCCATACGTTTGGCCTGGAACCTGGTTTGCTTTTGAGACACCAGGAAAACCAAAAGGCTCCAATGTGGTTTACCTGGTGGTCAGTTTTCTTTTCGGACACCTCTTAAACCAATAGACTTCAGTGGGGTTGACCTGCTGACCAGCTTGCTTCCGGACATCAGGAAAACCTGGAGAATGCAAAGGGGCTGACCTGATTGTCAGTTTCCTTTCAGGAGACCAGGTAAACCCCATAGAAGCTAAGAGGTTGACCTGCTGGCCAGCTTCATTTGAAGCCACCAGGTAAACCCATAGGATCCTACTGGGTTGACATGATGGCCAGCTTCCTTTATGCACAACCAGTAAACCCTTGGAATCCAAAGGAGTTTACGTGAAGGCTCCTTGATTTCAGGCTCTCCAGTAAACCAAGATGTTCAATAGGATTGATCTGGTGTCCACCTTTATTTCAAGACACCAACTCAACCTCTACCCCATCCTTGATTCCTAGAGGTTGACACAAGGTTCCCAAAAGATTGGCCTGGTAGCCTGTCTGCTTTCAGGAGACCAGGTAAACCCATAGAATCTCATGGGTTGACCTAATGGCCAACTTCCTTTCGGGACAGCAGGTAAAACCATGGATTCTAAAGGGTTTGAGCTGAAGGCCAGCTTCATTTCATGAAGTTCAATTAAATCCTTTAAATTCAAATGTTGCATCTACAACTGCACCTCCCTTCAGTTTGGAGGATGCACACAGGCCTTGTTTCTCAGTCTCAAAACTATTAGAGGAAAAGGTTCCAGAATAAAAGCTGGCCAAGAGTCTATAAATAAAATAAAATAATAAAATAAATGTACAAATAAACTTAAAGTATATTGTAAATTAACAATAGTAAGAAACAAATTGCAAACAAGTACTAAAAATTAAATATAAAACAACACACATCGTAACAGCAAAGACAATAAAATATCAAATATAATAAAAATAATAAGAGGAAAATAAAATTATAGATACTTGCACAAATGAAAAATATGTGTACAACCAAAAAATCAAGGAAGGCATATGAGTGAAATTTGATAAATGAAAAGGTAAAAAATATAAATATTTTAAAACAGACATTTAAAAAAAAGAGGGAGAGAGAATAAAGCAGGCAGACCAAATGTTTTATTCTGAAATTTGCTGGGAGAGAATCCATGGGATCTTTGTTCCTAATCACACGAGAGGGGTTTCGGGGTTCCCCCGCTCACTCTGGCCCTCTGAGTAACTGCCGTGGAACCAGGCTCTGGAAGTCCCAAAGGGCTGGAATTCCAGCTCTCTCCCCACAGGAGAGTTCCAGAAGGCTGGGGGGATTCCCTGCCCAGCCTGGGCGGAGGCAGGGCTGTCCTTTTCCCTCCCCTCATTCTGACGGCTTGGCCCGGAGCTGTGTCACATGGTTATATTGGCAGGTTACATGCTGGGAAACGTCCTGAGTTGAGGGTCTCAGGCTGGTGCAAAGGGGGGATCAGAGCCCAGAAGCCCTTCAGCCTTGCTCTGTCCCCCAGTCCCCTCTTCACCTAAGTACCTTGTGTAATCCGCCATCGGCTGGGCTGAATCTCGCCCCGGGGGGCCCAGTCGAGGGACACCCCATCTTTCTCCTCTGTCCGGGGTGTGTCTCAGAGTCAAGTCACCATCCACTGACGTTAAGGGGTGTCTGAGGCTGCGGAGGAATCCAGCTTGCTCAAGTGGAGATGACTCCGTCTATGGCAGAGTTGCGCCTGCTGACGTTCTTTGCTCTGGTGGGAACGTCCACAGACACCTCATCCCGGGAAGGCTGGGTCTCGCCTCTGCCCACACGGAGGGAGTCCTCATTGCTGTGTGTATAACGGGGGTTTCCGTCAACCTCCTGTAGAGCAAGAGCCTTGTGACCAGCAAGTATAAATGGGAGAGGTTCCCCAGGGCTTTGTCTGTGGGTTTGGAAGTCCTGAGGGTGCCTGCCCCTCGCTCCTAGGCTGGGGTGGCCGTATGGCCGGAGTGAGACTGCTGTCTCACCCTGTTGGGTTGACCTGGTGGCTTTGAGTGCCGCAGCTAAACCCATGGTATGCCATACGTTTGGCCAGGGGCCTGGTTTGCTTTCAGTTCACTTGGTCAACCAAAAGGATCATATATAGTTTACCTGGTGGCCAGTTTGCTTTTAGGACACCTGGTAAACCTGTAAACTTCAGTGGGATTGACCTGCTGACCCACTTGCTTCCAGACCCCAGGAAAACCCAGAGAATGCAAAGGGGATGGCCTGATAGTTAGCTTCCTTTCAGGAGACCAGGTAAACCCCATAGAGGCTAAGTGGTTGACCTGCTGGCCAGCCTCACTTGAAGCCACCAGGTAAACCAAAAGAATCCTACTTGGTTGACCTGATGGCCAGCTTCCTTTAAGGTCAACTAGAAAACCCTTGGAATCCAAAAGGGTTGATCTGGTGGCCACCTTGATTTTAGGCCCTTTGATAAATCAATAGTTTTGAATGGAGTTGACCTGGTGTCCGTTTTTGTTTCAGGACACCAACTCAATTCTTCCCCCTACCTGGAATCCTAGAGATTGACCCAAGGATCTCAAAGTGTTGACCTGGTGACCGGCGTGCTTTCAGGACACCAGGTATATCTATAGAGTCTAATGGGGTTGACCTGATGGCAAGTTTCATCTTAGCACGGCAGGTAAACTCATAGGCTATGTCTACACTATGAATTTTCTTGTCAAAACCTATGCTAATGAAGGACTCATTTGCATGAGTCACAATCTCATTTGCATATTTTCTGTGGATCCGTTCTTTTGCTAGGGTTTTTGTGAAAAAACAAGAAGTGTGTTCATTTTCTTTTTGCACAAAACCCCCTTTTCCCACCAGATTGGTAAACCTCCTTTTTTGGAGCACAAAGATCTGGCAGGAGAAAGGGGTTTTGCACAAAAAGAAGACATCCACACTGTTTGTTTTTGTGCAAACACCCCAGCACAAAAACACATGGGAAGAAAATATGCAAATGAGATCATCTCATGCAACGGAGTCCCTCATTAGCATATTTTTTGCTGAGAAAACTCGTAGTGTAGATATAGCCTCAGGGTACGTCTCAACAACATCCCTTTTTCAATAAAGGGATGGAAGTTAGACGTATTGAAATTGTAAATGAAGCTGGGATTTGAATTTCCCACACTTCATTTATATAATGGCGGCCACGGATTTTTTTCAAAAAGCAGATTTTCGGGAAAAAAACACGGTTAATGGGGGCATTTTCAACAGAAATGCCCCATTTTAACAGATCCTCTACTCCTCAGAAAAGCTATGTCTACACTAGGAGCTTTCTCAGGAAAAAATATGCTAATGAAGGAGTTGCTATCTCATTTGCATATTTACTTCTGATCTGTTTCTGCCTTGGGGTTTTTGCACATAAACCTCTTTTCCCGCCAGATCAGTAAACCTCCTGTTTCAGGGCATACGGATCTGGCAGGAAATGGGGATTTTAGACAAAAAGAAAACGTCCACTGCTTGTTTTTGCACAAAAACCCCAAGGCAAAAACAGATCCGCAGAAAATATGCAAATGAGACTGCGACTCATGCAAATGAATCCCTCATTAGCATATCTTTTCCTGGGAAAACAGGATCTGAAGAAATGGGGCATTTCTATCATAGCTGCAGGGTTTTTTTTGAAAATCAGCTTTTCGACAAAAAAAACCTTGGCCACCATTATGTAAATGAACTCCAGGAAATTCAAATCCCAACTTTGTTTACAATTTCGATATGTCTAATTTACATCCCTTGATCGGAAAAGGGAGGTAGTTTACACATACCCAATGGCTGTGTCTACACTGGCATCCCTTCCGGATAATGAAGCGCTTTGGAATAGGCAAATCCGCGGGGGATTTAAATATCTCCCGCGGTATTTGCATTAACATGGCTGCCGCTTTTTTCCGGCTTGGAGATAAGCCGGAGAAAAGCGCAAGTCTAGACGTGATTCTCTGGAAAATAAAGCCTTTTCCGGAGGATCTCTTATTCCTACTTGAATATTTATTCCTCTCTTATTCCTCCTTCAAGTAGGAAGCACTGTAACTAGGCCCTCATAGCGTACCCATAATAAGCCAAGAAGCTTCCAAGGAGCTCATGGCCCAAGCCGCGAAGGCACAGGGAGGGCGAGCGGGAGGGGAAACTGAGGCACCGAGCGGGGCAGTGACTGGACCAAGGTCACACAGCATGTCAGTGGCAGAGCCTGGGCCCGCTCACCTCTCACAGAGGGAAGATACACAACTGTGCGGTCCCTTCCAGTGCTAGTGTTCTATGATTGTTTCTCCCGATCAATGGATACAATTAAAACTATGCTGCTTTATAGTCATGTCAGGGGGGTTATTGTCGTGAGGGGTGTGACGGCGCATTGGGGTTTTCCCGTCTCCTGCACCCCCGTAATGGCACAAACAGACTCCACCAGCTAGTAGAATAGATGTGTTTATTGCTTCTCCAGGATACAGCCCAGCACAGATTTAATCTGGTTACAGGGCAGGCCTAGGATGCCTCAGCCCCCCTTGAGATGGGGGGAGGCTGGGCCCCTAAATTCCAGCTCCTTTCCCTAGGCTATCTCCTCCATGCTCCCAGACAGAAACTACCTCACTCACTTCCAGCCCTGACCCTGCCTTCTTCCCATTGTTCCGCTCCCTGGGAGATAACTCGTCAGACAGGTTCAAAGCCCCCTTGCATAATGACTCATCCCCTGCCCTGTTGGGCCATGCTGCAGCCAGCAGCCAGTGGAGGTCACTCACAACCCACTGCCCAGCATAGCAACCAGCAAGGTACCCCCACTACGTCACAGTGGGAATTGAGGCCGTTCCCTCTGCCACTGCCCTTCTTCCCTCCACAGGTCGGACACATCGTGCTGAGAAGAAAATGTCCAACCACACCACCGTGACCGAGTTCCTTCTCCTGGGATTCTCTAACATCCGGGAGCTGCAGATTCTGCACTTTGTGGTGTTTCTGGTGCTTTACCTGGCTGCCCTGATGGGGAATCTTCTCACTGTCACAGCCATCGTCCTCGACCATCGTCTTCACACCCCCATGTACTTCTTCCTGGCGAACCTGGCTGTTCTCGACATTGGCTGCATCTCGGCTGTTGTCCCCAAATCCATGGCCAATTCCCTCAGCAACACCACCCTGATTTCTTACTCGGGCTGCGTCACACAGGTGTTTTTCCTCCTCTTCTCGGTGGGAGCAGATGTTTTCCTTCTCACCGTCATGGCCTACGACCGATATGTGGCCATCTGCCGGCCACTGCACTACGAGAGAGTGATGAACTGGAGAGCTTGTGTCCAAATGGCCACCAGCGTGTGGGTCGGTGGCGTTCTCAACTCCACACTGCACACCGGGAACATTTACACCATGTCCTTCTGCCACGGTCATGTGGTGGACCAATTCTTCTGTGAAATCCCCCGACTCCTCAAGCTGGCCTGCTCTGATTCCTACCGCACTGAAAATGGACTCATTGTCCTTAGTATCTGCCTATTGCTCATCTGCCTTGTGTTCACCTTTGTGTCCTACGTTCAGATCTTCAAAGCAGTGCTGAGAATCCCCTCGGAGCAGGGCCGGCGTAAAGCCTTCTCCACCTGCCTCCCCCACCTCATCGTGATCTCTGTTCTAATTGGCACTGGGTCCTTCTCTTACCTGAAACCGATTTCCGGCACAATCTCGCGTCTGGACCTCATTTTGGCTGTTGCCTATTCCATGGTACCACCCATGCTGAACCCAGTTATCTACAGCATGAGGAACAAGGAGCTCAAAGCTTCGCTGAGAAAACTGACTAGGTGGAGGTTGTTCCCTAAGAATAAAAAGTCGATGTCTCTCTGACGGTGATTTCACTCTGTGTTTGTATATCAACGTAATCAATAGGTGACATTCCTGGCTCTGTTTGAAA